TGGGGGTGGAGGAGCCTAGGAAGGGGGGAGGGGGAGAGGTCAGAGCCAAACCACCCCCGCAGCTCCTGACAGAACCAGAAATTCCAGCAGAGCAGAGGCGGCAGAGACAGAGAAAGAGAAACACATTCAGAGACAGAGAGCTACACAAGGCCAAGAAGGAGGGGCTGCACACACTTGAGTATGGGACACCCCCCATACACTTGCAGTGTGCAGGAAGTAGTACTTCAGTAAAGTGAGCTCCTCGTCTTCTCAATTTCTCTGTCCCTGCCTCTTCTCAGTCACCTCTGTCCACAGCCTCCACTCCTCATCTCCTAACTATGCCTTTTCCCTACAGAGTTCGAGGAAGGGCTGCTGGACCGGTGCCCAGCCCCAGGACCCCATCCTGCGTTGGTGGAGGGTCGCAGAAGCAGTGTGAAAGTGGAGGCTGAGGCCAGCAGGCAATGAGGGTGGACGGGTGTTCTCAGACCCAGGAACCAACTTCTGGCTCACACAGATGCCCCACACTCTCCATCCTCGGAATCTACTCACCACCCTGACCCTTCCAATGCCCTTCTCCTCGTCCCCACCTGCTCCATGGGCACAGGACTATGGGGCTTCAAGCAATAATGAGCAGGGACCTGGCAAGAGGACACAAGAAGGGTGTGTGGTGCCCTCTCACCCTGCCCAGAACAAGGGGCAAGACTCTGCCTCAGGGCAGCGGGGGTTCTCCCCTCCCTCACATAACCCACTCCCATTCTCTCTAGGTGGCCACCAGTGGTGTGAGCAGTCAGATTCAGTTTGGACATGGGGGAAGGGGGACTTCCCTGGGAAGGTCCAGCCGATAAAAATGGCAACATCTCTCCCCAGAAACGAAGGCCTGGGAACTCTGGACCTTTCCTCCCCTCCTTGTCCCCGTTTTTGTGCTTCTAGTTTGTTTCTTTAATTTCATGAGTGCTGCAGTTTGCCCACGTATTCCCCTTTCTGCCCCAAATCCTCAGCAGTTCTTTCCTCCTGCCCTCTGAGGGAGGTGGATGGGGGGGTCTCTTGTCAGCCCCGAGAGCCCTGGGTTGGATACAGGGTCTCCCCGGGAGGGGCCGGACCACAGCACCTGTCCGAGCACTTAGAGCATCTTTCTTTTCAGATTGTGTACAGTAGATTATTTATTTTGTTATTTTGGAATAAAATTTATTTTATGGCTTAGGATCCATGACCCCCCTGCCAAGAGAGAAAATGGGTGGCATGGGGTGGAGGGAAGCTGGCAGTGGGTGGGGAACTAGAAGAGAAGCAGTGGGCAGAGCCACCCTGAAGGGGCCACACAGTGAAGCCTGGAGGCCACTCCCACGCCCTGGCTCTGAGTAACATGGAGGGTATGGAGCCACCGAAGCCGTAGTCCTTTGTAGATCTGTAGGCCCACTTGCGTACAGTCACATCCAGGACATTGGGATTATATGTCAGAGGCTACCGTACGTGCTGTGCATTATGCAGTGTCTCGCTTTCAAATTTGTGTTGTCACAGGTGAAGGCACACAGACGCACGTTCTGCAGTCATGTAACGTCACCTCTATATGTTAGCAAGTCTGAGTATATACATTTTCACACAGCTGCGCACAAAGAAGCTTGGCCCTAGCACTTCACACGTTCTCACCTGTATCCCAAGCCTCCATCTGACAAGAATCTGAGGCCTGGGGGAATTTACATTTTGTTACCAGCAAAATCCTTATCGGTTACTACATGCCCAGACTCCTCACAGGCTCCACTACGCTCCTTCCCTGTGCCCCGAGAGCTGACACCCAGGCCCACGCTGTCTTGTCCCTGGCTTCTAGTGCAGATGTGTGCACCTGTCTACACGGATGTCATAGGCTCTGGCTCTGAGTGAGTGGAAAAGCCTTCTATGCCCTAACCCGTGCTCTTGCCTAGCTACCCTTTTCTCAGCCTCGGCCTCCACAGGGAGCAGTGTGTGTGTTGCAGGAGCAGGCATGTTAGAGCGTATCTCGTCTTGGACCCTGGATTTCTTCCAGTGGTGGAAGAAAGGGAACACTGGTGTGTGGTAGGAAGGAAGAAAGATGAAGAATAGCTTTCCCCTCCAAATATTCCCCTGGCAGTCTTTTCCTCCCGGAGCAGCTGGAGATGGCAGGCACCTCTGAGCAGCTATCTGGAGCAGATCCACGGAGACAGGAGAGTTGTCACGGGTTTGCCCCATCACCAACTGGGGTTGGCTCTTAGGTCCAGGTGGGACATTGAGATCCCAGGCTGCCCATAGGGGGAGGGCTGCAGGAGGGGCTGGGGTCCCAAGGACCCTCCCCCTGCCTCTCCTTGGCCTTCTAGGAGAAGCTTGGTGAGGTCCTGTTCAGTGGGAGGCAGCAGGGCAGGGAACATGTCTTCATCAACCCTGCAAAGAGAAGGGGGAAGCGGTGAAGTAAGCACAGCATCCACTCCTTCACCTCCCAGCTGGCCTCCAGCTCAAGGCTGCCACTCACCAAGTGCCTTGGTGGTACCTTCCCACTGGCTGGGTTAGGCAGCTGTCTTCATCCATGGTCACATCTACAGCTGTGTGCTCCTGAGGCTGGCATGGCAGCAGGCTCCTGCCAGTGACCAGAAAAGGAAATGAGGGAGGGGATGAGGCCAGGAAAGAATGGGAAGCCGGGGTGAGGAGGGCTTTTCACTCACTGGGGGTGAGGCTGGTCAAAGGACAGGCTTATCTGGCTCAGCGGAGGGGGCATCTGCATGTGAGGCCTGGAAGCAGGAAGAGGAAACAATCAGAGGAGTGAAGCCTGGGCGAAGCCAGAGTGTTGCAGTCAAGTCCTCTGAGTGAAGAAGCTGGCCGCGGCCCCCTGTCCTGACTTGGCTGTTCCGGGACTGCGTAGCATTGGGTAGGCCACTCCTGTGCTCCCATAAAATGGGAGTGCAGGTGGGGTGGATTAGCCGCATTCCTTTTCTTTGGACTCTGAACTGTGGTACCTGCAATACCCCAGTCCTCACCTCTGCCTCAGCTTCTGAGAAGGCAGATGCTGTACCTTGACTAAGAGTTTATAGTCTGGGCCAAAATAGATGAATACATAAAAATCACCACAGCAGCCAGGGATTTTGCTCAGAGGCTCCATGCCTACCTGGCATGAACAAGGTTCTGAGTTCAATTTCTGGTATAAAACAAAACACACACACACGCACGCACACACAAACAGCAGCTGGGTGTGCCACTCAGAGATGGATCTCACGGTAGGCATGTATAAGTCCCCGGATTTAATCCCCAGAACAGCAGTGAAAAAGTAAGTAAATGACACACCAGATAAGCGGCAGTGGACTTCAAAGTTAGGCCATAGCTCTCATGAGCCAGGCACAGTGCTCAGCTTCAGACATAAAATGAATATTTTTTTGGCTGCACTGGAAATTGAATCTAGGACCTTTACACTGATCAGTATACATACTCCCAACCCCATTTTGGGGGGGTTGTTTTGGGGTTTTTTGGTTTTTGTTTTTTGTTTTGAGACAGGGTCTCACTAGCCAAGTTGCCCAGGTGGGGCTCAAACTTGTTATCCTCCTGCCTCATCCTCCCAGAGAGCTGGGAGTACAGACCCAACAACATTATAAACTCATTTACCCTTCACAATAATCCCGAGGTAGGTATTATCATTACCATGCCCATTTCATAGATGAGGCATCTGAGGTTAAATAATATGCCTAAAGTCAGCAAGTAGCAAAGCTGGAATTTGAACACATGAAACCTGGCTCTTACCCCACACCACAGAGAAGAAGAAAGGTTATTAGCACATGCTGCCTCTTCCCACAGAAGAGCCCCTCCTAGCAGATATCAGCACCCCACCTTTCAGTAGAATGCTGTCCCCCCTCCAACCTCCAGAGGTTCTGACTTACTCCTGAAAGGCTGGTAGCACATTGACTGACTCTTCTTGGGGGAGGCCTTGATACGATGGGATGGAATGAGAATGTTGGGGGTACAATGGGGGCCTGGGGAAAGAAAGTAGACACCCTCATGTCAGCTGTTCCCCTGGGCACCAAACCTTGGGAATGGGAATTCCTTTCACGGAAAGAAAATTCCCTGCTTTGGCCCTTCACACCACCTCTCCCAGCTGCCCATCCTAAAGGCCTGTCTGTACAGACCACTCTGGTTCCTGTCTTTCCTCACATCCTGTCTTGGCTGAGCTGCATGCTCATGGAGGGATCAGGGGTCATTCCAAGATCATAAGAGGGCATCATGGCAGGCATCTGGGGCTCTGGGGTGGGGAGGGGCTGGTCCCTGGAGAAGAGAAAGAAGCACATGTAACAAAGGATTACAGAAAGGATTGAGGCTGCCTCTCCTTTCTGTGTGTAAGTACCAGCCCCCAGGCCCCACCTGCCATCCACATCACCACACTCACCTTTCTACAGTCATCTTGATGGTAGCTGGGACATAGCCCCTGCCATCCTTACCCATCTGTTCAGCTGTTGTGGGAAAGAAAGAAGGAATATCCATGAAGTGCTCTAGGTTAGGAAGGAAGGGAGCTAGAAAGGTTGGGGGAAGAAGGGCTGATGGGCAGGTAGTAGAGGAGCTACAAAAATGGGGAGGGAAGTCAGGGATGACACAGCAGGCAGGCAGGGAGAAGGGTGTGGCAGGGAGCTGGGTGGAGGAAAGTGAAAGGAAGGAATCAGAGCTGCCAGTGCTAGCTCACGCTTGTAGTGGCTCCGGAAGGCCTCATCTTTGGGTTTCTTGGGGTAGAGGTTTTTGAGCTGAGCAAGATCCCGGATTCGGTCCCCCAGTGAACGAATGGACAAGTCTTTGGCAGAAAATGGCTGGATGTTCTCTATCTGTGGTGAACCTGTGAAAGGAATAAGACCCTGGGTCTTCTCTGTCTAGACCTCCCCTTCCCAGTCCACAACAGGCCCCATTCTTGATCTACCAAGGCAAGAGAGAACAGAATGAAGGGTGGGGTACCGAGAGAGGGAGACCTACTAGTCTTCACTGCCATGAGCTCGCAGTCAGAGATGGAATTTAGAAAATGGAGGTAGAGAAGAAGTTGGACCTAAGGAAGAACTTCCTGAAGACCAAGTCGGCAACAAGGAAGGCCAGAACATTTCCTTCCCAGGAGAAACTTGAGAGAACAGAAGCACTGAGACAAAAGACTGGCTGAGGTGACCTCACCATCCTGGCCCCTGATGACGTGAGCAATGGTGATGCCCCCAATCTCTGAGTCACTGAAGCGGAGCAGGAAGGTTCCATCGGGCTCATTGAGAAGGAGGTTAGTGACATACTGCTTGCTGATGAAGCCGATGATCAGCCTAGCCAGGATGAAGGACAAGGTGTGGGCACTGGGTGTGGAGAAGGAGCGAGAGAGAGGTGCACCGGCTCAGTCCACCTAGTGCAGGGAGGGACTCACCGGTCTGACCAGTAGCTCCGGAGACAGCGTTTGGTGAGGTCTAGGACACCATCAAACCACTGCCAAAAGGTGAAGCCCCGGCCCAGCAGGATCTCCTAAGGGATGATGGAGAGAGCTGGAGTGAGTAGTGTGGGTAGATCTGGAACCTGAGGAGGGCAACCACCGGGCTCTGCCACCCCTAATCAGAATCACAGGGCTGACACTCACACCATGTGCCAGGCACCATTCCAAACCGTTTTATGTACTATTTGATCTTTGCAAGGCTATGAAGGAAGGTACTATCATAATTCTATCTTATGGAAGTTTATTAAGATCAATTGATTTGTCCAAGTCCACAAAGCCCGTAAGAGGCAGAGCTGGAATATAAGGCCAGGCCATGTGATACTGGAGACCCTTACAACCACTGTGCATGCTAACCTTGTCTCTAATGAGGCCTGTCAGAAATGAATTCAGAGGAAATTGACTTGCCAGCTGTAATTGTCCTGCTTCTTTGGCTAACACTTCCTCTGGTCACATGGGCTTCTCTTTCTTCCTTTTTCTTTTTTCTTTTTTTTTACCCAGCTGGGTGTCAACCGAGAATCCAGAACTCCTTCTTGTGTGGTTCCCCCCCACCCCCGGTACCAGGGATCAAACTCAGGACCTTTCAATTACCAGGCAGGTGCAGTGCCCCTGAGCCATATCCCCAACCCCCTTCTCACACTCTTATAACTGACTCAGTCCTCATTTTGAAGACAGTAAAATATAATAGAATCAGGCAAGGCAGCATGATGTGAGCTGTAATTCCAGTTACTTGGGAGACTGAAACAGGAGAATCACAAGTTTAAGGCCTGACTTGGCAAGTTAGTGATACTCTGTCTCAAAATAAACAAAAAAGGAGGCAGATGTAGCTCACTGGTACAGCACTTGTTTAGCATGCACAAGGCCATGGGTTCAATCCCAGCACAGGAGGAAAAAAAAAAAGCAAGAGTCAGGTAAGGGATTCCATCCTAGCCATGCCACTTACCTGCTATGAAACTTTGAACAAACTACTTGACTCCTCTAAGCATAGATTCCTCATCTGTAAAATGGGGATTAAAATAGTACCTACCTCAAAGGGACATTGGGAGGATTGAGATAAGATCCGTGAAGTGTGAAACACAGTGACTGCATATAGTAAGCTGTCGGCACATGGTAGCAATATCACAGCACAAATGCCTGTGGGCTTTACCAGTTTCGGCAACAGGAACTATTTTCTTTTTGGTTTTTCGAGACAGGGTCTCACTATGTAGTGGAGACTGACCTGGAACTCACTATGTAGCCCAGGCTGGTCTCAAACTCACAGCAATCCTTCTGCCTCAGCCTCCTGAGTGCTGGGATTACAGGCGTGCGTCACCACGCCTGGCCAACAGGAACTATTTTCTAATGGGTTAAGATCAAGGTTTTTTTTTTTTTTTTTTTGTACCGGGGATCGAACTCAAGACCTTGCACTTGCGAGACAGGCATGGTGCTACTGAGCTAACTCCCAGGCTAAAGGTCAGTTTTTTTCTTTGTTTGTTTCTTTGTTTGTTTTTTGAGACAGGGTCTCACTATGTAGTTGAGACTGACCTTGAACTCACTATGTAGCCCAGGCTGGTCTTGAACTCACAGCGATCCTCCTGCCTCAGCCTCCTGAGTGCTGGAATTACAGGTGTGCGCCATCACACCCAGCCCAAGGTCAGCTTTTTAAAGCAAGCTCTGTTTATAGACAATCTAGATGAGTCATGCAAATTACTGGGGTGAACCCCAGAGTAGAGATATTTTCCTGCTTGGGCCACAACAAAGGCCTTCCTGATGGACATGATGGGCCTCTGTGAAGATCTTAGTGGTCTGTTTCTGTGCAGAGGCTGGGGAGGCTTTGCATGCCCTGAGAATGAAGAGCTTGAGGTAGGTCCAAAGAGCAGAAGCATAACCTTGTTAAACTGTGACCAGGACACACAGCGGTGCTGGAAGGTCTCCATGCTAAGGCTGTTGTCATTGAAGATCTTCTGGGCCAGGAAGAGGAAGTGCTCCGGGAGCAGTCCCCGGTTGGTTCCCACTTCAGCCATGAACTTGAGGTTCAGAGTTTCACACATCTTCTCCCAAGGCACCCGCTCAACAACCACAAAGGGCACACGATCCTGGGGGGAGGAGAGAGCACCTCAGGCTATCACTACCACGCTTCCTCAGCCAACTTCACCCTTGCCATCTTCCTGACCTGCCCATCGCAACACTGTCTCCTGAGCTGGCTCACAAACGTGCTTTCACTCTAGTAGCCTCTGGTACTATAGCATGACAGCTATTAAGACTGGGATGATTGATTAGAGGTCAGAAGCACGAAACCAGACCCAGGAGGAGTTAAAGTCCCACACATTTGAATATGATGGCCCCCCCACCAGCTAGCACTTCCCCACGTTAGAACCAATGCCATACCCAGTCCCTCATTCTGGGTCTTTCCTTACCATTTCAGAGAAGGCATTGTCCCACAGGATAGTGGCTTTGGCATTGTTGTCTTGGTTGCCATGCACAATGACCACCAAGGGCAGAGACAGGGCCTGAAGAAGTGAGGAGTTTTCTCATTAGTGAAGCAAGAGGTGTCCTAGAGAGGCCGGGTGCAAGAGACCCACACAACAGAGTTAAAGAGCTCACAGCATGTGACTAAATGCTTTCTGAAGCTCAATGAAAGCTTTAACACAGAGAAGTGGCTGTGACTGAATGCTGTGGAGCCAGACTTCTGGGCTCAAATACCAGCCCCAAATCTTAGTAGCTGTGTTAGGACAAACTACTAAAGCTGTGTCCCAATGTCCTTATCTGTAAAATGAAGATAGTAATGCAGTACAGTAAGTCCGTGACTAACAAACAAGTTCTGTTCCTGGAGAACGCTCATAAGTTGGATTTGTTTGTAGGTCCAACAAAATGAGTCATATACCTTTGAAACAAATATACAATGTGAAGCATGTAAAAACCAAGGTCCATTTGTATTTGTGAGTGTTTGCAACTCGAATGTTCCTGAGTCAGGGACATACTGTAGTACCCACTTTTTATTTTGTTTGTTTTTTGTTTTTTGAGACAGGGTCTCACTGTATAGTTGAGACTGACCTGGAACTCACTGTGTAGCCCAGGCTGGTCTCGAACTCACAGTGATCCTCTTGCCTTAGTTTCCCAAGTGCTGTGATTACAGGCGTGCACCACCACGCCCGGCTAGTACCCACTTTTTAATGTCACTGGAAAATCAAATGTGTGTGTAAACAGTTCCCTGCTGCATAAAAAGTGCTTGATAAGAGTTAGTTGCTATACACTCTTCCCGGGACGAGTACTCCCTAATCTTGCTCCCCCTACTCACATTGGGGGTAGTGTGCATGATCCCAGACTCATGAGGTATAGGGCAGTTAAGAGGGGTCCAGGATGTGGCATGGATAAGGGAGACTTGGGGGTCCCAGACTGAGGTGGGGCTGAGGCCAAGGCTCACCTGGAGCTGCATAGGGAGTTTGTTGGGGCCGAGCACGAAACTGGTAGAGAAGAGAACTGCACACTTCTCCTCGGTGACAGATTCAGTGCCCTTTCGCTCACACCGCTTGATTTTCTTCAGGAGCTGGGGGCGGGGTGGTGAGGCAAAGCAAGGGTGAGGATATAAGCACAGAGATTATTTCCCCCGGGCTCCCAGAACATCCTCCCCAAGGGCCCCAGCCTCTTCTCTCTCTGTCCTTGCATCCAAGGGCCCCTCACCAGGTTCTTGAAGAGGGCAGAGCAGCAGTTCCCAGGAATGCTGTTCTCCAGCGGTACTGTGTTGTTGATGATCTCCCCAGTACTCTCTCTGCCAGGGGTCAGAGTGTGAAGGAGCTCATCTCAGCTGGGCCAGGTATAGTGAGGAGCTTCAGTCCACGAGGGGATTGTGGGGACACCCACTGTCCTGGCTCTATATCTCTATTTCCCTGCTTGGGTTTTGTTTGTTTGTTTGGTGCTGGGAATTGAACTCAGGTTCTCACATATGCTAAGCCTGTGTTCTACCACTAAACGATTCCCCCAGCCCCTAGCCCCTTGCTTGGGGTTCTTCTTCTTGTTCTTTGGTTGTTTTAGAGACAGAGTCTCACTGTGTAGTCCAAGCTGGCCTGCCTTCGAACTCATGATCCTTCTGCCTCAACCTCCCATGTACTGGGATTATAGGTATGCATCACCATGCCCACCCACTTGGATTCTGTTTTGTTTTTGTTTTAATTGTTGTTTTGTTGTTGCTTTTGAGACAGGATCTCATTATGTAGTTAAAGCCTGGCATTGAACTCACTATGTTTCCCAGGCTGGCCTCAAACCTATGGTGATCCTCTTGCCTTGGCCTCATAAGTGCTGAGATTACAGGTGTGTACCACTCCTCCTAGCCCACCTGTTTGGATTTTTAAGGCAGGATCCTTATTTAGTCAAATCTTGATGCCTCTGCCCTACTGCAGACTGAATGGGTCCCTTCTTTTCCTCTGCCTTGACCATCCAGGGTCTCCATACCCGCTGGGTTCCTTCCACATTCTCCTGGTCTTTATGATGCCAAGCACCCGCTGGCTCCTCTTGGCTTCACCACCCCAATAAGCCTTCTCCAGCCCCCCGTCCAGCCTCAGCTTACGTTCCAGCCCCAGATCCCTGGGGCATGCTCAGCTCCCTCGCCTGCTTCTCAGTCACCATGTCAGCTCTGACCAGCGGAGGCTTGGCTGGAGCACCCAGGAACCGCAGGCCCAGCAAGAACCGAACTCCTGCTTGGAACTTAGTTTGAGTCTTCAGAACCTGGGGGGGCTGCTTCTCCACCAGGAAAGAGCTGAGAGATGTGAGAAGGACACAATGGGAGTCAGAGGCTGGGTCCGGTCTCTCAACTCTAGTCCACTCCTTCAGGACCTGCTCCAGGCCAGGGCGTACCTGGTGACGAGGGTCTGAAGGACTTCATCCAGCCGGTGAATCAGGGCTGCCTGGGTCTTGTGTTCAAGCTCCCCACCAGCTGCCCCTACCTCCTGCTGTAGCTGAGAATAAATGTCCACCAGGCTCTCACACCTGGGGCCAGGACAGCAGTCAGGGGGCACAGGATACAGGCTAGATGTCTGCTCCGGCCCCAACCCCTTTCTCTAAATCCAGGGATACAGCAGGCCATCGTGTGTGCAGGAATGGGGTGGGCAATGGTATGAACGCAAGGCACCCGAGCTGAACAGGTTTCAGGGACCTGCTCTGTATGGAAGGTTCATTCTCAGTTCCTAGACTGTGGAAACTGGGCGGCCTCTTCCCCAGGCCCTGGTACCCTGGACAGCTGCCAGCATACACAGTGCTGAAGGGAAAGTTGGAAAATGCCCTGCCCACCAGCCAAGTAGAATAAGGTCCCCCATTCCCCCAGGCATGGGGCTTGGACAGGAGCACAAGTTGCGTGAGCCCCTACTTGTGACCCTGGACTGAGCACACTTGTACAGATACAACCTGAACAACTGGTACATCCCTGCTGGAACTGGCTTCTCCGAATCCTGGCCCACTCCAAGGCCCTCCAACCTGGCTTCTTCTCTCTCACACCTGTGCATCCCCTAGCAGGGATAGCAGGTGCCTACCTTCAGCACCCCTCTTCTCCCATCAGCTAACCTCTCCTGTAGCGTGGCCAGGCTCTCCTCAAAGGGTGCACCATTCCCTGCCAGCTGCTGCTGCCGTTTCCAAATCTGGATCCTCTTCAGCACCAGGGTCTGAGCCATCTCCAGCTCCTTAATGGTGTCCTGAAGCAGTGTGGCCAGGGCCTAAGGGCAGGGAGGGGCCTGAGCCAGGGTCACAAACTGCTTCCTTACCTGGCTCCCAGGGATAGGACTCTTCTCCTTTCCCTGCCATTCCCTTTCCTGCCCATGTCTCTCTGAGGTCCAACTTTCAATTCTTCCAGCTGCACTTTGAGCTCTGTCTCCATCTCACAGTCCATTACTTACCTCACTTGGCTCAGTCCCATTAGCAGGAGTATCTATCAAGCTGTGCAGAGACACTAAGGGTGGAGGCAGAAATCAGGTATGCAGAGAGAACAGAAGTTCAGTCAAGGATAGGATCTAAAGGAAGTCCCTCCCGTACACTGCCCTGAACCATCTTAGGGCTCCAGGCCAGGCCTGCACCTTGTCCAGCTTCAGTCCCCTGATGCAGGGCTTCTCGAAGAAGGCGGATCTCCCTAACTCGGTGCTGCAGCCTCTGCAGGGCTGTGTTAAACTTGAGTTCTTCTTGCTTCCAGTGGAAAGGCATTGGCAGGTGGTGGAACTGCACAGGAGGGACAGGTGCCAAGAGGTGAAACACTCTGCCCATCTTTCCATGCTGGCCTTTACTCTCTGCTCTGCAGGAAAGGAGATAGGCTCTCTTCTCCCCTTCGGCTGTTCTCTCTGGCCTTTTTGAAATCCTCTAGGGATAAGACCTTTCTCCTAGAAGAACCAGCTTCTTACTCTTTTCTCTGTTCTTCCCAGCCTCATTATTCTCCATCTTTTATCTGAAGCTTCCCTGAACCTGCTTGGGGTTCACTCTGACTCCGGGGACTTTCTTTGGTCATCCTGAGCCTACAACACTGAGACTCTTCTGAGTTTCATATCCTTTCTAGTCTCTTACAAATCAATCTAAAGTCCCAAGGAGTTGTGTTAGGGTGGGAAGTGGAGTATCACAATACCTGCTCCATAACAGCTTTTTTCTCTCCTTGAAGTATTTGTCTGAAAGTGGCAACAAGCTTCAGGGGGTCCCTCTGATATATGCTCTATGGAAATGACAGCAGTGGGCAATTACATGTTGCCCCCACCCCAAGCTCCTATGCACATGAACACTGAACGGCAGCACAACTGTAGATTACACAAATTTTAGGCATTTGCATGCTTTTAAAATCTAATTTGTATGCTAGCTAGCTAGCAGTTAACCACAGAAACACTATTTTGCTTTCAACATCCTTCACCATCCAATAAATCTTCTTCCAGCATCCAATGCTCAGCCCAGCTCTGCCTCATCCCCGCCCCTCCTGGTCCCTTCCCCTCCTGTCCCACCTCCAGGGTGCTGATGTGTTGCAGGATGGTGTTTCCTTCTCCCTGCTCTCCTGCAGAAGCCTGAAGACGCTGGACAGTGGCTGAAAGTAGGGCGATTGCCACGTTGCAGCAGAAGGCATCTGAGCTGACCAGGAACTCCCTGTGGGAAGATCAGGGTGGCGCAGCCTCAAGCCAGAGCTTCCTCAGCTCTTCTGATCCTGCATCCCGCCTCCCTCTCCTTATTCACCATCTGGGTCCTCTACACCTGTCACTCATGTCCCTTGCTCCTCAGTCTTTCAGCCTCTGACCCAGTGCTGACCTCCCTCTTCTTTGACAGACTTCTGAGAGGTAGCATCTGAGAGCCAACATGCATGGTCTGTCTCTGCTCAGTCTAGGCCACCACTAGTGGAGTAATGGGTCCCAAGTTCTAAATCCCATGGGGTGGGAGGATAAAAAGGGAGGGAAAGTGGGGAAGACGGGACATGGGCAGCAAAACTCACCATGGCTGGTCCTCAAGCCAGTCTCCTAAGAGATGCCTCAGGTGCTGAGGAAAGTCAACATAGAGCCGCTGTAGTTTTTCTGGGGACATCTTGGAGACCAGACTCCACAGAGACATGGTCTGGGGTTTGGAGGGTGCCTTGAAAAGAGGAACAAGGCCATTTTGAGAGGCATCAGGGCCGGGCATGGTAGCACATGCCCGTAATCCCAGCACTCAGAAGGCTGATGCAGGACGATCTTGGTGAATTCAAGGCCAGCTTGAACTATATAGCAAGACCCTGTATTAAAAAAAAAAAA